ATATTTTTATATATAATTTATATTATTTTAAAATATAAATCTTGAAATAAATAGTTTTTTTAACTGTGTAACAAATCGTTCCTTTATAAATAAAAAAAATAGTTTTTTTATAAATTTAAAGTTGTGGATACAATAATTCTCATCAGGATTTTAATTGTATGCAAAACTATTGAGTCAAGCAGGTGCTTTGAGTTTTTGAGGCACTTATATGATTGTGTGATAAGAAGAGTTAAGATAAGAAACATAAGACGAGATTTGGACCCTTGATCATCTTTAATCTCAAACTTACACATTAATCGCACTTGATATTGGGATTAATCCGGTGCATCTCATCCTAATGTGTATCCAAGGGTGGAGTTGCATTCTTACGCTTCTCACTTTAACTCTATTTCTCATCAGAATCCAACCTTATTCAGCTAATAGTATAAATATAAGTAGAGAGTTGAGTTTCTGTAAGAATAAGAGTTATGGTGAGAAAGTGAAAATAAAACTTTCATATACCTCAATCTACATGCAACTATCTTTATGTATTGTATCCTTTTTTATCATCATTACTGAATATTTAACAAATTCATGCATGTAAATAGGGATGCTCAAAAACCCGATCAACCCAACTCAACCTGAAGCAACCCGGTGTCTAATCGAGTTGTAAAATTTTTAAACTGTAGGTATTGGGTTGCTATTATTTGAACCGAACTCAACCCGATGAACCCGATATCCTTTTATTTCTTGAATTTAATTTTTTTTTTTGAAAGGTAAAAAGGAAGGATAAGGAAGAGAGTTTCGGCATGGCCATTACCCTCACCAAGCCAACCAATAGAATAAAAAATAGGTCCAGCAAGAAGCTAGACACAAACAGATACAAGAGTCCAATACAACGAAAATAAAATAAGGAAACAAGACCAGAAAATGTCCCCAAAACGAGGCCCAAACCAAAAAACAAACAAACTAAATACAAACCAAGAGACTAAACAAGGTAAGGAGAAGATGTCCAACTATCCCAATTGATAATGAATTTACGATTCCTAGTCCCCATCCATAGCTTGGATAAATTTTGAACCCAAGGAAATGGGTCTTCACCTTTCTTCTTAATTTTCGCGTCATCCTCAGCATGAAAAATTTCATTCCGTCACTTCCATAGTTGCCAAAGTGCCACAGCGCAAACAGATAAGAACATCGCTCCAACCTTTCGATGATTGCCTACTTGCTTGATAAGAAATTTGAAATCAGACACCGAAGATGTCGCGGGGCTTTAAGATCCCACCAAGCCCATATTTTCCTCCAAAGAGTGTTTGCCGCCGAACAAGAGAAGAAACAATGATCCATTGTTTCTACTTCTTTACCACAAATAATGCACTCCAAGGATTGTAACGAAATACCCCTTTTTGAAAGATTAAATTTTACCGGGATAGTCTCTTTAAGGAATCGCCAATGAAAATGTTATACTTTTTTTGGAATTAAAGGGCTCCAAAAGCATGTATCATTGCTTTCAGCGCTTGTATTCCCTTGAATTAACTTTGACAAGAAATTGACCGAGAAAATTCCCGTCTTGTCCCAATTCCAATACCACACATCATCACCTGAAGTATTGAACGCCATTTGAGAGAGATGTCTTTCTAAAGCTTGAAGATCATCTAATCTTCTGCCCCTAATCGTAGATCTCCAATCCCAAGTACCACTCCAAGAATCATTAAAAAAACATCCATCTTTCTTTGAAAGAAGCATTTTTATTTTTTTTCCAAAGCATAAAGTCTAGGATAAAGATCTTTCAACATTGAGCCATGACCGATGCTAGCATCCTTCCAAAAAGAAAAAGAAAAATCTTTAGCAACTTTTTTTGAAAACGATTGAATAACGTTCTGACCAGCAACTTCCACATTCTTGGATTTAATATGATCGTTAAATTTTTATTAATATATACATTAGACAGTTACACTATCACGTATGCTCTTCATATACACATATTTTTAATATATTCACATCTCTATATAACTCATTCGTATATATGTTCAGTAACTGTGAACATATATATGTAAATTGAAAAAATTAACTGAATGTGATATACGTAAGAAATATGGATAAGTTGTATCAAATGGTTGATGATGAAAAGAAATTATGAGTAAAAAAATAACATATTCAATGTTAGAATAATATTTTAATGTACCAAAGTACCAACTCGACTAACCCGTACGGGTTGGGTTGCACTTTGGTTTGGTTTGGGTTGGGTTGGGTTAAAATTTTTAAACCGTAAGCATTGGGTTGGGTTGTTCAATTGTATTCAACCCGATCAACTCAACCTATAAATACCCCTACATGTAAAAATGACCGAAAAATAAAGATAAATTTAAAAATAAACATATGAATGTAATTAAATCTAATTAGAAAAATATGAAAAGGAGAAAGAATTCGGACAAATGAAATAAGAAGATAAAGTGAATAAATTATAAAATATAAGCATATGCAACATTAATTATTGAATGACGATATTACATTTTAATTATTTTAATATTTTTCAAAAGTATTAATAAACAATAGATTAAATTATGTTTTTCGTTCCTTTAATTCGTTGAAAATTGCTAATTTCGTCTTCAAGGTTTGAAAATGTAATCTTCGTATCCATTGTATGCAATTTGAAATTTGAATCTAAGGTGGTGTTTGGTTCTCGCAGATTCTGGAGAAATCTGATAGAATTGGAATGTTGAATTTCATTGACCAAATTTCATTCCCTCGTTTGGTTCATTCTTTTTCACGAAAGGAATATTCAAAATCCTCCAAATTCCACAAATAAAGGAATTTAACATTCCTTAGCAACTACATGATATTTTAATATAATAAAATCTCTATCTTTATAATACCAAATATGCTTTTAACCTAATATACTCTAATCTCATAAAACTCAATATGATTATCATCGACCACCTCTCGACCACTATTGATCTGAACCACCGCCGACCACCGCCGACCACCACCACCATCGACCACACCGATCTGGACCACCGCCGACCACCACCACCACCGATCTGAACCACCACCGACCACCACCACCACCACCGATCTGAACCACCGCTGACCACCACCACCGATTTAAACCATCGCCTAACCACCACCACCGACTACCACCAATCTGAACCACCGTCACTGACTATCACCGATCTAAACTACCGCCGATCTGATTCACCGTTAATCTGAACCACTGCTGATAACCGTCATCTGAACCACCATGGACCACCACCGATCTGAACCACCGCTGACCACCACCACTGTCTACCACCAATTTGAACCATCGTCGACCACCACCGACTACAATCTATCTAAACCACAACGGACCACCATTGATCTATATCATTGCCAACCACCGACGACTACCATCGATCTGAATCACCGTCGGACACCGCCGACCACCACCTATTTGAACAACCACCGCCGCCGCCGCCTATCTGAACCACTGCTGACCACCTCCATATAAACCACTGGGGACCACCATCGATCTGAATCACTACGGACCACTACCATCTGAACCACTGTGAACCACCACCGATCTGAACCACTGCCGACCACCGTTGATTTAGTTACGTCGTTTGGCTTATAATTATATTTGGATTGTGTATTTTATATTGTTTTACATATTAAAAAATTATTTTATTAAAGTATTTTTTGTTTTTAAAAAATAAAATTTTCAAAAAAAAGACATTTTGGTCATTTACCAATATTTTATTCCAATTCTAACGCTACATTTTGTGAACCAAACAGACAGATTCCAATTTCTTAATAGATTCCATTCCAATGTCTGCCAACCAAACATGTGGTCAAACCTGACAACATTCCATTCAAATTCCTTCAAAGTCAAATTCTTTTAACAGATTTCATTTCATCCAAAAATATTATGCGAACCAAACGCCACCTAAGGATGCATTTGGTTTGTTGGATTTCGATGGATTCTGATGAAATTAGAATGGTCAATTCTGTTAACCAAATTTCATTGCAACAATTGGTTTCTCAAGGAATTCAATTGAAATCTAAGTTTCTCAAGGAATTCAATCGAAATCTAAAGATTCCCTCAAATGTGGATTTAATCATTCCTTTATAAAAGAGATGGAAATGAAATCCATTCCACCCGATATTTTAAAATGACAAAATACCCTTCTTGAAAGATAAGCGAAGGTCGTCTTCACCCAATTTCATATGTTCACAACTAACAATGTCGTCTTTTCCTTCTCTCGATTCTCAAGTCTCGGTTTGTTTTCCTATCAAACTCTTTCAATGCAGGTGACTTTTTGTTGTCAGACGTTTATCCGAGTAAGTGTTAATAGGTCACATTACCTTACCTGATGAATATAACAAAAACCAAAAATCTTACACGTTAAAAGTAAAGACAAGGATCGAGAGTCTTATACGGTAAGTGAAAGCGACGCGATTACCGTTTGCCGAGTAAATTGTTACATACGATATTGTTTTAGTAGACTAAAATATTACCCGATAAGTAAGTGATAGTGTTAATTTTTGTTGGTAAACATTTACTCAATTACCAAGGTAAGCGTTTCCTAAACGACCCCTAAATCTCAAGGACGAAAACCAAAACTAATTGCAAAGCATAGAAACGAAGCAGTAATTACAAAAGACCAAGGACTAAAGTAGCATGTTTCAACAAACCACAAGGACTAAAAACGAAGTTTATTCTAAATAATATCAGGTGGGGACGTGGGGTGGTTGTGTGGTCAGTGGCTTGTGAGTGATGAGTGCCATGATTGACAATAAAATCCAAAAATGAAATTAAGAATAGACCCTGAAATTTCTAAACGAGACTAAAAAGTCCCTCTTTATCAAAAACATTTTCATTCAAGTCCATTGTCTCTTTAACAAAACAACATTTTTTGATTAACCTGGATATCCAACCCGCTATACAAGCCGACTAATCCCAGGACGACCACCTGCTTTGCAGATAATCCAGAGTCATCACATTTGAATCTCAGTGGCCGAAAAATGAATTTTATTTCTCATTGGATTTGAACATGTGAACTCTAGGTACTTTTGACCTTTGAAGCACAAGCTCAAATCAATCATGCATCACCCTTATGATTTAAACAAAACAACTTATAATACTTTCATTATAAAATTTTGCTCTCATTATTTGTTATGGGACATATCAGTTCTCTACAAAAAGCGAAATTTGTGCGACTCAATTCAAACGTATGTAACAATGAACTCAAACTCTACAGATTTAGTCGATCAAAAGTCAGATATCATGATTATCATATCCTGATTTTGTACAGTGGAAAGATTGTCAAGTAAAGTACGTGACATGCGATATTAAGTAGAGTTTAGACATTTATTCAAGATTCCTTCCAAGTCAAAATCAATTTTGAAATTCTGATTGCATATAAACCTGAGTTACATCTAAGTAATTTTTTTAACACAACAACTCATAAGTTCAAACGCTTATTGCTCAATCTGATCGATGCACGTATGATTCAAAAACAATATAGCGTATATTTCCATTTATAAGCATCGCTTGTATTATTGTATCGAAAACGAATATTGCAAGCTTATCCAAGAATAAAAAGTTATTTATTATTAATAAAAGTTGATAACCGTAAACTTGTTATAAAGTATGTTCGATTTAAAATGTAGAAATAACTGATTTTCAAGAAATTGAAGGGGATGTTGAAAGACCATCCCTAGTAAATGACATCTCAACCTAATTGCGGTTGATTAATTTATGAGTCAGGTTAAATACATGCTAATCTATAAATATCAAAACTTAAATTTTACGTTTTTAATACATGATTTATGTGGATTTTGATAAAAATAAAGGTGCATATAGCAACACTCGTAACACTATCCTCCTCCCATACATCAACATCAACATTAAATTTATTTTTATGTTTTATACTCATCTATACTATATTATAAAACATTTGACAAAACTCTTAAAAACTATTTTTTATGCATGAAGTACTGTTTATTGATACATATTACTTAAAATTCAAGATTACGAGTAACTTGTACGTAAGTACAACTTATTAAAGCTTCATATTTGAATTTGTATAACTAACTTCAGATAAACATAATTAAATAGAGGATAAATATTTCATTTTAAATATAAAAAAACTAAAATATAACTAGGATAATCATTGACTTCTAACAAAATACTTAATTACTGTCTTTATAAAAAATTATATTATTAAACCAAAAATAAATAAAATAAATTAAAGAAATACACAAAAAAAAAAAAAAATTGTAAATAGTTAGTTTGGTACTAATATTAATATATATTTTTATAATATCTTCATATTTATATTTTATTCAAAAATAAAAACATTATCGTTTTCTCAAAACCACATAAAACCGTATTATAATATCGACTAATAAAAAAAATAAAACACTAAAATTGAGATGTATTTCACTGCATTGTACGAGTACCATTCTAGTAATTTTTAATGTAAATAGGTGTGTGTAAATAATGAATGATCGTATGAAAACTAGAGTTATTATGAGAAACATAAAAAGAAAATTGAACTCTTATTCACTTCTAATCTCATCTCATCCTCTGAATTACGATTAATATAGAATCTGGTTCACCTCATTATTGCTAATATCAGTGAAGATCTTTTCTAACACTTCTCTACAAAATCCAACCCTTCCTAAAACACCCTTGATTTGGGCACAAAAATGGCTGCAATTAGAAATTAAAAAAAAACCCTAGTTATATCAAATGACAACTCTTTTACATTTTCTCCCTATAAATTACTCTGAAGTTGCACCCTCTCTCTCTTCCTATCTGTCGATCAAGAAAAACCCATATCGTCATTTGTCGGTTTTCTTTGTCAAGATTCTATTTTTAATCTTTCATTCTTCTTAAATTTATGACCTTTCGAACAAAATCCTTATCGACATAGACTGGAAAAAGACACTGATTGAAGGGGAAATGATGAAACAAAATTGGTGGAAATCAGCTTATAAGCAGAATCACTTCGTTTTCAAGTTGGGATTTTCGATTTTGTTGGTGGGTTTTGGATTCAGACTTCTTTTCTCAGAGTCATCCACTGTGATCCCTAATGTTTCCGATAATAATAATACCAACAATACCCCTGCTGTGGAGAAGGATGAGAACCCGATTTCTTCAGATTTTGCAGATTCTCCCAAAATAGTGAGCGGATTTCATGTTAAAGGTACCATAATCGTCATTTAGCTTCTTCTTTGCTTATATATATGATGGAATTGAATCAAGATTTTATCTGCATTTACTTGTGTTTCTGCAACAGAAATGGGTTAAAATTTGTGGGGTTTCACTGTCATAAATTGAGTAACTTTTGATGGAATCTTAGTTGGGCAAGGTTTAAATGTATACAATAATGTCAATCCCCAGACAATGTACAACTTTCTATGCATTCAGTTCATCACATCCATGTATTTTAACCAACACCAACCAGTTCTTCAAGTTAATAGATATTGATGCAAGTTCTGATTGCTTCTATGGCCATATCTATAGTTAAATAGCTTGTTAATTGCCATCTTTTAGAATGCTTTTATGCTTATGAACCAGTTTTTGGGGAAATTATGATTGATTTGGTGGTTGAAGAAAGTGAAATCTTGATGATCTTGTTAAAGGTTCTAAATAGGTCTTGTTCTAAATCATGGGGTGGGGTAACATCCGAATGCCTAAAGCAACAGGCTGGCCCAATAACTGCAGATCCAACTTAAAACCATGGTGGAAGTTATTGGTAGCCCACAATTTAAGGCTCATAAGGGGCTCACAGATCCCATTTTCTATCTATGTGAGATGAATTGTTACAAACTCCCCCACTTAACTCCTATCGTCCTCCTGCCCCAGAATCTTCCTCTTTGTACTCGGCGATGTGGGATTCGCCTAAGATGTTACAAACACCCCCTCGAGGACTCATCATATCCGATGAGGTTTGCCCCACCATCCCGATGGTACAAGGATCGGCTTTGATACCATTTGTAACACCCCAAACCCCAAAGCAACATGCTGACCCAATAACTTTGGATCCAACCTGTTGCTTTGGGCTTGGACCGGCCTGTTGCTATGGCCTTTGGGGTGTTACAGGTGGGGTAGGGGTGGGGTGTTGAAAACTTCTGCCATTCTCACCCTTTTAGATTATGATTCATCGGTGTAAGATTTGATTTTGTGACAATTCGGTTTTCTGCATATTATGCACTGGGACTGATTGTATTTTTCTGAAATGGGTGTGAAGATAATAATTCGGAAAGGTGTGATATTTTTGATGGTGAATGGATACCAAACTTGGGTGATCCAATATACACGAATAACAGCTGCAGATGGATCGAAAGCCATCAAAATTGCATGGGGAATGGGAGGCCGGACACCGGATATCTTCATTGGAAATGGAGTCCTAAATCTTGTGAATTGCCTCGTTTTGATGCAAAGAAATTTCTTGAGACGATGAGGGATAAATCATGGGCTTTTGTTGGCGATTCGATAACTCGCAATCATCTTCAATCCTTCCTTTGTGTTCTGTCTGAGGTAAACTTGTTTTCAACTTCATATATGACTTTCTTGTGGTACATTTCTTGGTTACTTATACTACAACAAAATTGGCTGTGTAGGACACCAAATATGTGTAAAGGTCTTAATAGGGGCTATTTGGTTGGTTTTTCATTAAGTCATATATGGATAAAGCTATCTGTGTGGATCGGTCTATATAGATTGTGAAGGCTTTTGTTGAGAGAGTTTTTTCATAGATTGAAGGAGTGTGTTTTTTAATTGGGTGAACATGTTTGGAAAAAACTTGGCTTTCTGCATAAAGCGTTCCCCTAGAAGCTTACTGAATAAGCCATTTTCTATATCATTGAGTCACTACCAACCAGTCATTTATAGCTGATTGAATAAGATGCGAGTCCGATAATCATTTAACCCTTGGATGTTTTTGGCTTTGTATAAAAAGAGAGGTGAATATAATCATATGGAAAGAAATATAGATGTAGATTTCAAAATCCTAAAGCTTAATGGATTCAGTATCTTGCCTCGTGTAGGTAGAAGATGCCGTGGAGCTTTACCACGATAAGGATTACAAGAACCGAAAATGGCATTTTCCGTCTTACAACCTTACAGTCTCGGTTATGTGGTCTCCTTTTCTCGCAAAAGCCGAGATTTTTGAAGACGTTGATGGTGTTTCGTCCTCAGAGATCAAACTCCACATTGACATTCTCGACAAAACCTGGACCGAACAATTTGACATGTGGGATTACGTCTTATTCTCCTCTGGTAAATGGTTTATCAAAACAGCAATCTACTATGAAAACAATGCCATTCTCGGCTGCCATGGTTGCCAAGGAAAGAACTACACTGATCTTGGTTTCAACTTCGCTTACCGGAAAATCTTGAAGAATCTTTTTAAATTCATCATGAATTCCAACCATAAAAGCATGATCGTTTTCAGAACTTCAACCCCAGATCACTTTGAAAATGGAGAATGGTCGAGTGGTGGGACTTGCAATCGAGAGGTACCAGCTAAAGAAGGAGACTTTGAGTTGGGGGATCTGAACAGAATCCTTCGGGAGGTCGAATTACCAGAATTTTCAAAAGCGGAAGATGAAGCTTCCGAGAAAGGGGTTAAACTGAAACTTTTAGACGTGATGCCACTTTCGTTGCTGAGACCTGACGGGCATCCTGGTCCGTATAGACATTTTTACCCTTTTGCGAAAGATAAGAACGCGAAAGTTCAATATGATTGTCTGCATTGGTGTTTGCCTGGGCCAATTGATCAATGGAATGATTTGCTGATGAATTTGGTGATGAATGATGATTGATGAATGTAGGCATATTCACATGTGAATAGCGTTAAGAACTCCATTGTTGTGCATCTTAAATAGTATATGTTGTTGTTTCCACAATTTCTTGTTACAGTTTTGTAATCAGGGATTCCTTTAATGTTTTGTTATGAGCTCAATTGAGTATTTGTAAGGTTTGATTAATTTTATTTCATTTTCTTTTTCATTTCTCTTTGTTTTTGGTTTTGTATAAACTATACAGAATGAACTGATGTCATGAGATTTGAGTATTTTCAAATCTTGAATTATGAGTTGGGTGGTCATCTGATGTAGGCCTTGGTGTGGAGGACCAGATCTTATTGTTTTTGGAGACCCATGATCGGCCTAAAAGGGATGAAAGATATACGCTGCATCATTATTTCACATTGGTGGGAAGGGATGAAAGATTGACAAAGAGTGGTAGGTATATTAAAAGAGAAAACTGATAGTCAATTCTTTTATACAAAAAATATAAAGTTATGTTTGCTGATAACCAAAGTTGTTAAAAAAAACTAACTGTTGAATAATAAGCTTGCTGATAAATCAGTAGTATTTGATGAAAACTAGCTCATAAAATAAATGACAATGTAAAATGTCTTAGAAGAACATACTAGAAAGTTAATTAGTAAAATATTATTGACATAATTGGAAAAAAAAAATAGAAAAAACCCTCATAAACCAAGAACCTACATTAGTGTAAAATATCACAAAGTAAATTACATTTTTCATCCACGTTGTTAAAAGTTGCGATTTTTGTCCCTATAGTTTAAAAATTGTGGTTTTTATCATGTAGTTTGTAACTTATTGTTGTTTTTTGTTTTTATAATTTACAATATATTGTTTTTCGGTTCCTGTGGTTTATAATTTTTTACTATTTTGGTCCATTATACTTAAAAGTAGGAATCAATTCGAGGATGAAAATAACAATAAATATAATTTAGCCTTAAAATTATACGTATATCGGCCGTTTCAAATTGTAAACCATCGAAATTTTGTAAGGCTTACAAATCAATCTCAACAGTCTATATAGATTAAAATCAGTGTCAACAACGTAGATTAAATCTTGCTTTCAACTTTATTTACAACTGTTTTTATAACTGTCTAAAATCTCAAAATATACAAAATCAAGAAATAAGAAAATAAGATTGATTTATACGATATGTAAAATATCTATATATATGGGGGTGGTTATTAAATGTTGTTATTGTTAGAAGAAAATGAAAGTTACTCAACGGTAAAAATTTCAAATTTAAGCCAGGAATCCAAACTACTTTTCAATTCTCACTAATCTTTTTGGAATTCAAAAATGTAACCGTTAGAAAGGAACTCTCATCTTCTTTTTCGTATATAAATCCCTCAATCAGTGCACACTATTTGAAACCAACAAGAAACTATTCCCGGATCTTCTTTGAATAGCAAAATCAAACCCTCAAATGGCCGACGTTGCCTCTGCCGATCCGATCATTATTCCGACGAAGAGGAGAACCCGAAAGCCACTGAACCCAAAAAACTCGTCGCAAAATGAATCCGACATTGATGCCGGAGCAATTTCTCAGCCACCGTTGATGTCGGAAAACTCTGCCGGAAAAGAGAACTCCGAGAGCCTTTCTCAGCACAAATCTCCGAAGCTGAAGAAATCAGGGAGAGGGAAAAAGCAGCCACAACCCGACCCGACAACATTTTCATTCGAGAAAGAGTTGCAAGAAATGCAAGAGAAGCTTGAAAAGATGACACTTGAGAAGCAACAAGCAGAGGAGATGTTGAAATTGAAGGAACAAGAACTTGAATCGCATAGTAGAGAGCAAGAGAAAGTTAAAATGGAACTCAAGAAGTTGCAGAAGTTGAAAGAATTTAAACCCACCATGGTACGCGTCACTAACTTTTCTTGAAAAATTCCGTCGATTAGCGTTCTTCATATACTCTTTGTAAGGTTTGAAAATGCATGATTCCAACAAAGAGAATTCGCTAGTTTTCTGCAAATTTTGGTTTCTGTACAGAGGAACTGACAGAAGTTCTTGATTCTGGCACTAGGGCTTGTATCTTGAAGTGGGAATTGTTGGGGAGCTTAAAATTAGGGTTTTAATCATCTGTTCTACGCACATTATCTCTGTTCTCTAATTCTTGGTTTTGGTTTTTTAAAAACTTGATTGATTATAATTCATGAAAGTTCTTGATTCTGGCACTAGGGCTTGTATCTTGAATTGGCAATAGCTGGAAAACAATAATTAGGGTTTTTAAATTTAATAGTCTATTTACATCTGTAATAATCTCTGTTTCTGATTCTTGATTCTAGACTTTTAAAAACTGGATTGATTATAGTTTATGAAAGTTCTTGATTCTGGCACTAGGGCTTGTATCTTGAATTGGGAATAGTTGGAAAACAAAAGTAGGGTTTTATTAGTCTGTTCTACATCTATAATAATCTCTGTTATCTGATTCTTGATTCTAGGGTTTTAGGAACTTGAATTTGGCACTAGGGTTTGTTGTATCTTGAATTGGAAAACTTAAATTAGGGTTTTGATTATCTGTTCTACATCTATAATAACCTCTCTTTGAACAAGAAATCAAGCAAAATGACCACCAAATTCTTTCTAATAGTCTGATATTCAGTTACAATTTCTTGAAGTTAAACTTGGGTTAAATTTACAACTCTCTTTCTATTTCAGACACTGCCCATTTTGCACTCCTCGAAAGACAAAGAACAAGTGAAGAAGAAGAAGAAAGGTTGCCCAGAAACTAAAAAGCCAGCAACTCCTTACATCATGTGGTGCAAGGAGCAATGGGTTGAGGCAAGAAAACTTTTCTTTAGTGATATCCTTTTCATCAACGACTTAAATAAATCGATAACATTTGAGGGATTTTTATGATTTCTGTAGGTCAAGAAAGAAAAACCCGAAGCAGAGTTCAGCGAAATAGCAAACATTTTGGGGAGTAAATGGAAGGTTCTAACCCCTGAAGAGAAGAAGCCTTATGAGGAGAAGTATCAAATAGAGAAAGCGGCTTATTCGAAAATTGTGGGTGATGAGAAGAGGGAAAATGAAGCTATGAAGCTTTTGGAAGAAGAACAGAAGCAGAAGACAGCTATGGAGTTGCTTGAACAGTATCTGCAGTTTAAACAAGAAGCAGAGAAAGAGGGTGGTGATAACAAGAAGAACAAGTAATTGTCAATTATACTTCTGGTTTCATAGCAAACTCTTTAAAGAAATCAACTTTATTCTAATTTTAAATCATGGGTCATGTCTGTTTACAGAAAGGAGAGAGATCCATTGAAGCCAAAGCGTCCAGAATCGGCATATTTCTTGTTTATGAACGAGAGACGGGCTGCTCTGGTTGCTGAAAACAAGACTGCGGTGGAGGTAGGTTGAGTTTTAGGATCAAATAAGCCAAAATTTGGTGTGTGTTTTTGTATTTGTGAAAAACTAATGACTTTGGTTTGTATTTTGGTGGTGGCAGATTGCTAAGATCACAGGAGAAGAATGGAAGAACATGACAGAGAAGCAAAAAGCTTGCTACGAAAAAAAGGCGAAGAAGAAGAACGAAAAATACAATCAAGAAATGGAGGTTTACAAACAGAATAAAGAAGAGGAAGCTGAAAATTCCAAGAAAGAAGAGGAGGAGGTTTTGAAAATCCTGAAGCAGGAAGCTTTACAATTGCTTAAAAAGAAAGAGAAAACCGAAACCATCATTAAGGTTTGTTTGTATCCCTAGTTTTCGCTTGAATTCCCTCGAAGGTTTTGGGATTTTAGAAATGGGGTTTTCTTTTTTCTTGTGGTTTATGTAGAAAACAAAGGAGGAGAAGAACAAGCTGAAGGAAGAGAAGAAGAACAAGAAGACCGATGATCCTAACAAGCCCAAGCGGCCTCCATCTTCTTTCCTCCTTTTCAGGTAACCTGTCTGATGGACTGATAACCATCCTATTGATTTCAAGTAGAAATGAAGTTTCATTGATGCCCATTTCAAGATTTCAAGAAAAAATGAAACTGACTGATGCCCATGTCAAGGTTTTTGAAACCACTGATACCCAATATCAAGTTCTGTTGATCCCATTTGAAGATTCAAGAAAAAATGAAATTGACTGGTGCCCATGAAGCCATTGATAACCAAAAATCAAGTTTTCTGTTATTGCTATTTCAAGATTTGTTAATTATGTGCAGCAAACAAGCAAGGAAAGATTTGGCAAAAGAGAAGCAAGGAATCAGCAATGCCCAACTGACTGCTCTGATTTCAGTGAAATGGAAGGAATTGAGTGAAGAAGAAAAACAGAAATGGAATGGTGAGGCTGCAGAAGCCATGGAAGCTTACAAGAAGGGAATGGAAGAATACAACAAGAATCTAGTAGCTGAGATCCCTAACAAAGATAACTAGTACTAATTGCTGGCCCATCATGTTCAACTAGTTCTGTTGAACTTCTATTGCCCTTTTTTTGTCATTAGTTTTTGTTCTAGTTACTTCAAATTTTAGTCGCAATCGGCATATTGAAATTTTAGTCACGATCGCCTTTCTTGTGTCCTTGAGCAAAAAGTTTGAATTGAATGACCCTCGACACTAAGCTTGGTGTCCAGACTGAATAACACAGAACAGTATAGAATAATTATTTAGCATTTGGTAAGACAAAACAGAACAAGTAAAATGATCAATTTATCCTTAATAAAATAATATTTTATACAATAAAATATATCTGTCAAAACAATAAAAATGACATCAAAATAAAAGGTTTACGTAGTTTCCAATTTTTTATCATTTTTCTACATTATTTTTTATTATTAATATATAATAAATTACATAAACTAATAAAAAAAATAGAAACCATATAAAAATAACATTTTGAGGATAGTAAAATGAGTTTAAAAAACATAAAATACAATAAATAAAAGAACGAATAGAATGTAAAAAAGAGAATTAAGTTTTATTTTGAGTTATATTATTAGTAAAATGTAACTATGTTCTACCATGTGTTTTACCTTGTTCCACAAGGTAAAAACACGTCTGTTCCACGTAAAAATCATGTCAAATGTGAAACAAGGACCATGTCTTGTCCACTGTACCAAACACACCCTAATGAATTTGAAAGAACCAAAACATATATAAATACGTATAATTCTAATAACATGAAAGCAAATCATCATTTCAATGTGTTTGGTATGGCGAACAACACAGAATAGGGATCACTGTTCCACATTTTGCAAGACTTTTATGTGGAATGGATGAGTGGAAGAAATGTTCTATATACTCAATGACTCAATGGAACATGTGAAACGGACCTATATTTTACTAATATAAGTATATAACCTTAAAATAGAACATAATTCTCTTTTAAAACATCAAATATGTCTCTCTTTATATTTTTATATATTCTTTAAATTTTATTTATTGTATTTTATGGTTTTTAGAAAACTTTTACTTTACCATCCTAAATTTTATAATTTATTAAATATTGATGATGATAAAATAATATATAAAATAAAAATTAGAAACTAGAAACTTGGCTTCATATTAAATGTCTTACAAGAAAGCATCCAAATCATAACCTGTAATTAAACTGATGTCTTTAATCAAGTTGAATCGCCTTTTCACAATTGCTACCTTCTCCGTCCGGCTCAACAGTGTTCTTCCGTAATTTGTTCAAAATTATCCTTTCACTTGGCCGCCTTCTTTTTGAGATGAACTTTGGTAGTGATTCCGCTTGAGATTCAAGTGCCGTTGGCCTGCTTTTTGGGCTAAACTTCGATCGTAATTCCACTTCCACTTGAGATTCAAATATAACTTCTACTTGAGATTCCACTTCAGCTTGCATTTCAGATTGTTCCTGTTCAAATCAATGTACAAATTTAAAAAATTACGATTGTGTTTTCAAAGGTGTTTCCAAAAACATAGGGTCTATTTTTTAGCAACCTAATGGGACTCGCAACTTATTCATTCAGCTATACATGACTGTTAGGTAGTGGCTTAATGTATAGAAAGTGGTTAGATTCAGTAAGCTTCTAGGGGGAGCTTTATGCAGAAAGCCTAAAACCTGTCCCTCCCAATTTAAGAAACACGCTCCTTCCATCTATGGAAAAACTCTCCCAAACAAAGGCCTTCACAATCCATACAGACAGATTAATCCACACACAACATTATCCATACAAGACTTAATGGAAAACCAACCAAACAGCCCCTTACACAGATGTAAGGAAACAAAACATCCTGAAGAAACAAAAACATCAGTATTTTATTGAAATATCGGGTTTTATTGTAGTTTTTAGGCATGAATCCAAGCGAAAAATTCTCATGTTTAATTGAAATCACAAAACACCAGTAACAATTTGTCACCGATAACTTTTAGAGGACCTGTTTGAACTTTTATAGGACCAGTGTAACTTTTAGAGCAGTGTAATTTATCACCATTAACTTTTTGAAGACCATGTTGAAACTTTTATGGTGAAATAAACTTTACATCAAGAATTTGGAAAGTGTGGTGCCATTTCTTGCATTTAGCCCCTAAAAGGTTTAAAATGTTATGTGGTCCATTTTGAAAGCTTTCTATTTATAGAAATGCAATGGCAATTTGTACATGCTAATCAACAGCTTTTAAGATGATGAAAGAACCAAAGTCCTGTAAGGCACTTACATAAAGAAGAGAAAAACAATGTTATCTTGGGGGAAAAGGTGAAATAAAATGAGAATCCAATTCCAGTTATGAAAATGGGAATCCAATTCCGAAATCCCAATTGCAAAAATTGTTATAAAATGCATGTGTGGTGTGTTTGAATTTGTGTGAGTGAATAATCAACCAAGCCAAACAAAAGACTTGTCTACAATGGCTTCAATGCAATTGCAGAAGCCAGTTGACCACACCAAAAACTTCCCTCAACATGGCCATGTCCCAACCAATGCCCAGAATAAATGTAACACCTGCGGCTATCAAAAACCGGTTGACCACAACAAAAACAACCCTCAAAATGGTCATGCCCTTGCCCAGAACAAGTGTAACAACACCTGCTCCTGCTGCCAGCGTAAAGAAAACGAACACTCTTTTACCAACAAAGTGAAAGAGATGGCAAATTCGGCTTACAAAAAGGTGGCTGACCAGATGCACCACCATGATCAACACAGCAATGGGCATCGGCCGATTACTGGGCCAAAACAGGCATGCCATGGCTCTGGAGGAGTGACCGAGGGGAAAAAGAAAGAAGGGAGCATGACCAACTGCATACCTAGAATTGGTGATCATAAGAGGAGAGAGAAAATCCCTAAAAAGAAGGGAAACAACTGTAAGTGTAAAGATGGAAGTGGAAGCAGAAGCAGAAGCAGAAGCAGCAGCAGTGACAGTGAAAGCGACAATGATGCTCACATGAAACGTAACTAGAGGTGTGTATTTACTATAAGTTCGATCCAATCTCGAGGCCAAAAACATGGAATTGGAATTCAGAAACACTTATTGTGGTTACCTAGACAGCAATAAACACCAATTAGAAATCATCTAAGCAGGAACCATTCTTGGTCTATGCAGGATCAAGGGGAGGAGCACTTGCGGACACATCTAAGAAAATGGATGACTGATCTAGCTATGAATATATATATATATATATATATATATATATATATATCCTACATTCAATAAACTACAACTTGTGGTGTGGAGCTTTATTGAAATTGGTGTGTAAGAACTACAACTATTTTTCCTTTTGTGTGTTGTTTTCTAATAAATGATATCAATTCAAGGATTTTGTAAGAATATGTAGAATGCCATAGCTCTTTTACAAGCTTTCGCTTGAAAGACACCAAAAACCTCAAGATGAGTAAACCATGGGGAAGGGAAGTGAGGTTTGCCACTAGCTAATTGATGCGCTCAATTACTAGGTAACTCACAAGTGCATGATTCATACGCCGGGGGTTCTAGATTAGTCATCTACAAACTATGAGGATAGCTTATCTGTTGTAGGATTTCAGGTCGAAAGGAAAAAAATGACAACTTATTTGAGAGTGTGATGGTGTGATTCCTATAAGAACAATCATGAAGTGGTAAATTTGATAGTTTCAAAAGTAAAACAAATACTACATGAACTGAAACAACCAACCAAAAATACATATAATGATATGGAGTGTCTAAGGGGTTGTTATTAGTAAATGCCCAAAAACCAATCATATGATGATTTTAATTTTGAGTTTTGTTTCATGAAATTAATTAATAAATAAAAGGCATTGCCCATTTTATTATGTTTATACTATATTTTGTGTTTTAATTATTCATAATAAATAACCTTAAAATAATGTATTTTAAATGTCCCTAGTTATTTATTATTTCGGGTTTAAGGTTGGAGTAATATGACAACAGCTAGCATATGTAGGGATCATATAGAGATATTGAATCTGCATATGGGTACAAGATGGAGATTTTGTGCACCGGACGTGACTCGCTATGAGAACACTGCATTGGATGTCATGTGAGTGTAATAAGTGTTTCTCATGTAGACAATGTACATGTAATTCTTTGACTTGAGAACAGGGAGTTTGTAGTGTGTGAGTGACGTATTTTGACATTTATTCTAATCATTTCGTAACCAGGTGACAGAACGACTGTTGGGTATTTTATATATCACATGGTAAAACTAGAATGTATCGAGATAAGATTTGTCCCTCCTTTATGACGGGAGTGATGTCTCTGGTACCCTTGATAAATATATACTAAGAAAACGTATGCCTGCTCAGATAATTGATATGAGATATCATGATCTGTTTTATCAGTATATTAGGGAATCAAGAGACTAGAGATTGCACATAACGAGAATGACACATTCAATATCTCGTGTTCAATCTGGACATCAAGGACAAAAGAATTAAATGCGTAAACTAAAATTGACTACAAACCGATAATTTGTTGTATCACATATTCTCTTTGGGTGGCGATGATGTATTGCTAGATACCGCTCATTGTTTATAAATATAAATAAGAGATTTATATTTATTGCCAACATGTCGAGAACCCATTGGGTCACACACTTTGAACATATCTGAATAAGGAGTTTCAATAATTAAAATGTTTAATTATTATATCTGATTTGTATTGATTTAATCTAATTAAATAAAAATCAAATATTATTTTATGTTGGACATAATGTATGTTGGCAAAGGATAGTCTTAAAAGGTGTAGGGATGGTGTTCGGAAAGTCTCACACTCAAGTAAAGTGTAGGGATGGTGGTGGTTTTAGGCCATACTTTTCATAACTACAAAATGTATTGACATTTTATGCAATTCTTACTCTTGCAAGTTTCTCTCTAAAATCACCTACAACATATGCTCCCTTTTCTTTCTAAGTTTTGAAACTGTGACTAGTATCACGAGAAGACAAATGATTCAGATTGTTCGCGTGGATACCGTGGAGGCATCAAGTCTTGTTTGTTGCTTATATTCAAAGTTTCTCTAACTGTGAGGTATAAATTCGAAACACCCAATTTATTTCGGTTCGTATGGGTCTTTGGAGGGTTACAGTTTTATTTTCTGTTGTGCTTGAGATCCCGTAACCCAACAGTTGTTTGGTTGGTTTTCCATCAAGTCGTGTATGGATAAAGTTGTTTGTGTGCATTAATCTTTTGTATGGATTGGAAAGATTTTTGTTTGGAAGGGTTTAACTGGGAGGGACAGGTTTGGAAAAAACTTGGCTTTCTGCACAAAACTCTCCCCTAAAAACTTACCAAATAAGTCGCTTTCTATATCATTGAGCCACTACCAAACATTCATGTATATCTGACCTAATAAGTTTGAGTCCCATTAATCTCATTAAGCTGCTAACTAACAGGCCCTAAATCACTTGTTTTGGACTAGCTATCACAAAACACTGCACATGTGAGCTACCAATCAAGGACAGAGATCATATTTGATACAGGATTGAATGTCGAAAGCAAGGCATGAGATTACAATATATAAGAACTTGCGGATATGAGTTATTTTCAGTAGAAAATTATGGTTATTATGATAATACGATTATAAACCAAAATATAAAGAAACTATTACCCTTAGGAACTCACTCTGGGCCCAGCATTCACCTTTTCACCACTGATCCTTGAAACAAACATTGCAACAGCTTCAACAGCACGTGCTTCGGCTTCTTCACGAGTCATTCCGGTTAACTCAAGATTTTTCTTCGCAATTTGAAATGAATGGTCACCATTTTCAATCACATGCAAAGCATTAATAGCTTTCAACTTCTTCCTCACCACTTCCAACAGTTCCAGCGGACAGAAGCCATCATTACTCCCCTATATAAGACAAAAATAGAAATCAAACCTTAATGCCAAGTAGCCCCAGCATTAGAACAGTTAGATTCATTATAAAGTTTAAAAAGAGGCAAGGTTAAATTAAAATTTATGGCAATGTAACAGGTGGCCAGCCCAATTCTATGGAATTTGATATAAGTCAAGCTTACCGACTACCAAAGGAAAGGCCAGTTCAAATTTGTTCTTTCTTTCTTTATATATTTATATATTTGAAAATTAATATCATCAACATAACTGTAAGAAAGATGAAAGTTGAACCAGGTTAGTGTGTGAAAAGCAGGAGAACATTAAAATGGTTTTTATGTTGGGAAATAGCTCCGTAGAGATTTATTCTTTTACCTGTACAAACATAATAGGAATCGTAAGTTGCAAGAGGGGCTCATCTCGAACTGCTCCCTTTGTGGCCTGCAACATCATGCATTGTGTCAAAATACCATTTCACATGTGATCTCTGTTAGGTCGACAACAAAAAGATTGTAATCTGCCAAAGGCAGAATATGGAAGTCCACATGTCTTGAAGGGCACAAGATCAACTCAGCCAGAGGCATCCAACCCCAGACAAGCAACAGTTGTCAAGGGGAATCCACAACATCTGGATCAAAAATCCCTGGCACTACTTACTATATTAACCAGGAAACCAGTCACGCTGTTCACTAAATACAATGATGTTAACAAATGTACTTTTACATATAGGCGGACGAGCTGTTTTTCCAGCCTGCTATCTTTTTATTGCATTCTTCCTTTTCTAGCCACTCTAAACCAAATAAAAATCATCGACCTAAGCAATTACAACATTACAAATTAACATCGATGTGCCCAAAAATTTCTGCATTTTACTGAATTCCATTTACCTATGCAGTAACAGAAACTTGTAGGGCTGGAAAAAGATGGAACGTTAGACCTAATCAAGAAATTTTAAAAGCCAACAATATAAGTAACCCAAATAGTGAAACTCACTGAAAGGCCAACATACAAGAGACAAGATTCAAACAACAAATGTAGGATACTGTTGGCAGCAAACCTTTAGTGGGTACCCCAGGCAAACTACAGCTGAAGCCCCAATATCATTCTCAGCAGCTACCATACAACTGATCCTGTCGAGAAATTAATTTCAGTTTTTTGGAGCAATCTATGCTTATGCAACTAGATGGGAACAACATGCAGTAGAAAATATGGGGAAGGAGAGAAATGAAATGGCCCAACAGAACATGTTCCTTGTGTATTTATGAAATGCCTATTACATCCAGCCTCAAGACTACACCTGAAGGGGATGTTAGTGATGCAGAGAAAGAAAGGATGTGTGTGAAGACATGGACACATAATCTTTCTTTGTTCACCAAGAATTTTGAGAATCCTGTCTCCAGAATAGCTTCTTATGTCCTATTGGAACAATACCGTTTATGGCATGCCGAAAAGTGTTGTTGCACAAAACATGGAGCAGAGTAATAACTTAAAAAGAACGTTTGGCAAGACTCCAAGTTTTACAGAATACCATTATGCATGATGCAGGCAACATCTGAGAAGATTGATTGTTGTGAGTCTCTAACTAAATATAAAATGAAATCAGTCATATATGTGTCATCTTCAACCACCAATTACCTTGAACCCATGGATTTTCCAACCAAAATCAAAGGATGTTCTGGGTACTTGGCAGCAACCTTTCTTACAATATCTGAGTGAAAACCAACCAGTTTTTCTTCCTTGGGAGGAGCTTTTCTTCTACCATCTGCCAGAAGCCATAATCAATTAAGGATTTACGGTGACACTGTGCATGAATTTCAGATCACAGATGACACATGTATAATAGCGTGCATAACTTCAAACTGCAGAGGGACATAAGAATTCAAGAAAGCTCTAAATGAATTCAACTGTTAAGAAAACTCACATGGGTAGTCAAAAGTTATTACTTCCACAGCATTTAAAGCATCGGCCAACAAGTTCCTCCATCTGCATAAAACTCAAGCCTGAGGTTCAATAGTAATCTTTTGGTAAGCAAAACTGTAGATCTGAGCACATATGTCTTAGCCCATGGCCTTTGTAGCAATATAATGAAAATCATCATTTCAAATTGAACTCACTGTATTTCACATTCTTGTGTACTACTTGGTTAATAACAAGCATACTATGCAATAGAAATAAAATTAAATCAGGTAGAATGAACATTTAATCTGTTCACGCAAAGTATTATTTTTTATCAAACAAAAACGAAAATGCCAAAAAACCAAAAAGTATGAACAACATTACGAATGTGAATCATGAATAATTCTATTACTACTTTTGGCTGGAGACATATAATATACAGCGAAAGCAAAGTTAAAACCTGATCATCCACTCGGAAGTTGAAGGAGCGCCAGCTCCATGAGCAAAAACGACCACCGGCGAATTATTAAACTTCACCAACGAGCTTTCAGCTCTTTTGATCATCGGAGCATATTGTTGTCCTACTTGTTCGTATTCGGTTTCCATCGTTCGCGGGCGCTTGGAAGCCATTTTCCCTGATCAAAGAGAAAAAGTTTAGGTATCAAGTTGATTGATTTCAACTACTTCATTGAAAATTTTCAGGCAAAATAGGAAAAAACCCTAACTTTCCTGTCGGCTGATTTTCTCGCGCCAAATGACATCGGCTCCTCGGCTAGCCGAGGAAGAGTGTTCTTAACTGGGCTTAAAGAAGACATAATTTGGGCTTGCCCAATTATTCCAAGGTACATTAAAAAAAAAAAAAAAAAGTTAAATGCATGAAATAGCAACCTACTTTCATAATATTTCTTATTATAGCATTCTACTTTTGTTTTTCTTTATTACAGCAATGCACTTTCAAATTATTTTTTATTAAGGCATTGTACTTCAAAAAATCTACCCATAATAGCAATGAGTAACTTGTTACCTTTTAAACCGGTTAACCCTTTGACTTTTTTGCTTGTGTGGCTTTAATGAGATGATGTGGATGACACATCATTTTGATGACTTAACTAAAATTAAAATAAAAACCTGTTTCAAATTATTATTAGTGATTTTCATTTTTCATTGCTATTATCTAAAAAAACATTAAAATTTTTTTTTACTTTTTCTTATTAAGTTACATTCAAATTAAATATTATTAGAGTAAAATATTTATTAAATAGATATGAAACATTATTTTCGAGATATATTTTGTTTGTAAAAAAGACAATTTTTCCTATCTTATGTTGTTCAAATAAATACATATCTTTTAAAGTTCTCTTTAAAATATTAACGAAATAAATTGTTATCTACAATTTTTTAATATTGTTATATTAATAAATAATTCAAAAAAATCTAATTAATTTAACATATTTATACGTCAAGTAAAAAGTTTTTGAACAAATATAATGTATTTTTTAAAAGATAATATTTTTTGGTAAAAAAAGAACAATTCTTATTTTTCCTTTTTTTGAAAAACACATATTTTTTAAAAAATATTAACAAGATAAGTTGTGTTATTTTACAATGATGTAGTAAGAAAGTCATATCACTATAGTATATGTGGACAGCCTACGTGGACAATGAGGTGGCATGGAAACCTAGTATAATGGGTAAATTTAAATCAAAAGGTTACCCAATGCTATAATGGGTAAATTTTTCAAAGTACAATGTTCTAATAAAAAATAGTTTGAAAATACATTGCTGTAATAAGAAAAACTGAAAGTACAATGTTATAATAAAAAAATTTATGAAAGTAGATTGCTATTTTGTGCATTTTGTTTATGGTTATTGGGTTCATATATAATTTTTCAAGTTTTTAAATGATGTGAGCCATGGTGCGGTGGTGAAATCAAGTCTTAAGTTTTATTGTGTTTTTTAAGAGTGTAAAATCGGGATTAAATCTCTACTCACTACTTTTTTCAGTTTTCAAATAATTCATGTTCGAATTTTCGTGTATGGGAATGTGAGTAACTATTTACCTATTTAACGTTTTAGTTTTTAAGTTTCCTTTTTATGTTTAGTTAAGTCTTAAGTCTCGTACATAATTATCATTTATTCTCACGCTATATATTAAAGTAACCACACACCTTACAAAATAAAGTGTCGTAGAACACCATAACGTGTTACAATGCAAACCAAGCGTTAGAGTGGAACCATATGGGTTAATGTGGCAGCGAACCTAAGCCTTGATGCTATAACCCGCCATAACGAGTTATCTATAACCATGATAATTTTTTTTTTATGATTAGCCTGTATATCCATCCCGCTATGCGAGCTGACTAATCCCAGGACGACCACCTGCTTTGCAGATAGCCCGGAGTCACCGCATTTGAACCTTCGTGACCACAAGAGGATTTTTGTTCCTCGTTGAATTTGAATCTGAGACCTCATGATAATTTTTATAAAGGCATATTTTTTTCCTTCTTAAACAAGTGATTGAATAGGTGGATTGCCTTATTGTGGAGCTCTCCATGATGCCAAATTGGTTGTTCTTCTCATTTGTTTCATGTTGTAACCTGGACTCAATCACTTAGGGGTCGTTTACTTAAATGCTTATTGGGTAAGCGTTTATCGTTAAGAATCAACACTATAATTTATTTTATCGGGTAAGATTTTTGTACATCAAAATGGTATCGTATGCAACAATTTACCCAGTAAGCACTTATCCGGGTAAGAGTCGCTACCCTCACTTACCGAGCAAGACTCTCCATCTTTATTATTGTTCTTACCAGATAAGATTTTTTGCCCTTGTCATGTTCATCTGATAAGGAAAGTTACCCGGTAAACACTTTCCGGGTGAAGTTTAGTAAACGGCCCCTTAGTGTTATAATTTTTTTTAAAAGTATATAATATTTATATATAACAATTCACATGCATACGCTTCTCACATTTGGTAAATTTAAACACCTTCACTCCGGAAAGATTGTCGGATACCGCTAGGTCCATGGTAACAGATAATATCCTATTTCACATTATCGTTTTATTAAAATAACAGATAATATCCTATTTTACAAAAACAAAGTCATTATATATATATATATATATATATATAGGGTTTGGTTCACGTGATACCAAGGGTTTTTCGTGAGACCCGTAAGACCAATTTATGTTCACTGATCAACTTTATAAGCTTATAATCTAAAGTTGTACGGTGACAATTTTGTGATTATTGAGAAGTCTCGTGACAATTTTGTGATTATGAATGTTCAGATTGTAAATCTAATCCAAATGTTGAGAATTGGTCTTACGGGTCTCACGAAAAACCCTTGGTCTCACATGATCCCAATTCTATATATATATTAACTTTACGTATTTCTTACAATTATATAATTTTGTATGTCATTTCTTATATTACAAACACAATAAAACTTTTAACACTCAAAAGCAACAGGTGAAATGCAAAAAGTCTTCACCCTCATCAGAGAATTGATCTAGTGGTTCTCTTCAATTAGAATTGATTCAAGGGTGAAGACGACTTCTTATCCTTCTCAACCATAACTTAATTTGATCCTTACCGGAAGTCAACCCTACATATTATATATGTATACAAGTGGAGTCTTGATCAATGCATGAGAGCTTAATTAATGATACATCCATGGTCTTAACATAAATTCATTCAATGGTTCCTGCATAATGCATGTAGAAATTAACGGGGAAAAGTAGGGATACATCATACATCTTCTTAAGCACCACAAGATACAATGACATCTTATGCTATATATACAGATGTAAGTAGGTTTATATATATATATTTATATTTATATATATATATATATATATATATATATATATGAATCCCACCAGTGATCAGATCTTTTAGAAAGAAAGAAAGAAGGAAAATGGTTCATCTGCAAATCCAACCAGCTCCAGATTAAAACCAGTATATAATATATAGTACTCAATTTAAGCAAGCTCTTGGTTCTTCTCCACCACCCTCACTTCTTTTGTAGATCTAAGCACATTTGCCTACATAACACACACACACACACACGCAGAGTAAAAACCATCATATATACATACATATATATATATATGGTCTTTAACAGTCAAAGGAGTGAGAGAGATCTAGAGAGAGAGAGAGAGAGAGAGAGAGTAGTTGACCTGAGAATCAGTGATTTGAACAGCAAAAGCATCAACAATGAACAAAGATAAGGTCTTGTTGTAAGTTCCAGGTTCAAGTTTCTTAGCCAACAAGTCATTATGCTTCTTGCTTAAGTACATTTCCACCTCCCTTGCCCCTCTGTTGCTTCTGCACATATACATGTATATATATAACAACTAAACATAGGCACAACACACATAATTATGGATGGTGGTGGTGGTGGTGGTGGTGGTGGTGGAGGTGAAATTACAAAACTGACCTATCAGATTGAAGACGCTCATATTCAGGATCATAGTTCATGAACACAAAATGCAAATGTTTGTGTTTGTCACCCATGAATTCTTGAGTTGGCAGCTTGCTTTAACTTGACTTAATTTGAGTGATAAGATCCAATGGTCATTGCCCTTTTATCCTACACCACCATACTTTGACTCTGTCAAACTTAACCATCATGGATCTCAACATTTCAAATTTTATTCTTTTTTATATAATATCTCATCTCATGAAGCTTTGGTAGAATGGAAATTAGGTTTGCAACTATGGTCCTTCTGACCACTTCTTTAAGAGAAACAGTTCCTCACCAGAGCTGTTCAATACACTACAACAAAATTGGATTTATAAGTTGTCACCAATTTCCATTTGTTAAAGTATCCCGGGTTATGCATAGATTAATCTCGTTAAATTGTGACCGCAAAAAATCAACCCTGATAAATTCAGTGGACACAGTTATTGTATGTCTGTAATTGAATCCTGAACAGATAGATGTTCCACCACATTCTCAAGATCCTAACCATTACTCCACGACCTTTGTGGCTACCAATTTCCAAGTATCAAAATAGAATATTTCATAAAAACTTCATTTATATGACAAAAAAAAAAAAAAAAACGTTCTATTTATAAGGTATTGTAATAAGTTTACAAAACGCTTTTAGACGTCTTAATTTTTTTTTTAGAAAACTTCTTTTTATAAGACACTTGTTTTCATAAGATATTTTTTCAAATAGTGTCATATAAAATAATTAATATGACGTTTTTTTATAAAAATGTTCTAAAAAACTTGTTACGACATCCAAAACTGCCGCATAAGCTTATTACAACGTTTTTAAATATGCTACTTTATTTTTCGCTCTTATAAACTAAGGTGTATAAAAGGGTCTATTAGTGGCATCCTATAAACCTAATTTCGATACGATGATATTAATAGGAAAACTAAATAAATACATGGTTTACCAACTTTTGCAACTTGATCTTGCAACACTAAAATATAACACACACACACATACATATATATATATATATATATATATATATATCTTATTTGACACTTATTATTAACCGAATCAAGGATCAAACTCAGAGCTCAAGAATGATCAAATTTTAGACTGAAAATGTACTGACATATCATTACTTCATCGAAAAGAAAACAAACTGATGAATCAGATAAATGAATAAAAATCAACGACTAAACGAGAGTTGGTTTATGAATAAAAATCTCGTCACCAAACTTTAGGTTTCTTCTCTGTACGTCAATCATGTACTGCCATGCATATCATTACTTCATTGAAAAGAG